AAGAGACAGCTGAGCTGTCATAAAGCCTCTCTGGTTCTGATCAAAGATTCACTGCATTGCCCCCACTGCCGTGTCTTTGAGACCAGTCTTCTTCACTGAGTTTCTATGTTTCTAGAATATTTCAAAGATACCTCAAAAGTGAATTATCTTTTCCAGAGGAAAAAAAAAATTTCTCTTTAAGATATACATTTTGGTGACATTTAATGATTCTATGTAATACTGTTTTATCCTAACTCTGAATTTAAGTGGGTAGTTTCTTTTGGGAAACATAAATAATTCTGCTATGTCGTTATAGGTTGACAAGATTAGGATTTAAGATCACTCTTAAAAACCTATAAAAATGGGAAGAATCAGTGGCTTTGCTTCTCGTGGTAGATAAATGACAGATGATGAATCAAGTACTGTAGCACCCACATTATCACCACTGAAAAATGCTGCACCATTCTGAATATGTCAAAATGTGGTGTGATGTGCTTAAGATGGGAAAAACAAGAAAATGTGAAAGGTACTCACTGTTTTTAAGAAACCAGCCATTTTAAGAAACCATCCCAATTAGCAATCTCACCACAATTGCCAAGGTATGAATAAGCAGGGAGACTCTTGTTTCAAAGCAACAAAGTGCTTAAACACATGCTTCACTTCTTTGTTTCATCATGGTCTGTTTGTTTTGTAGACAGAGATCCTCATTTTTTAGGTGTCAGTCTGGCGTATGCCAAACAGTAAATTAATTTTAAACAAAGGAACTGCAGAGCCATGCTAAAGTTACTTACCTTGCCCTGCTCAACACAAAAGAGTCTTTGACTGTCACCACTGGGCCCAACTCGGGACATTCTGAATCATGATACTGACCACAGTCCTCACACCCTGTAAGGAAAAAGACAGCATACACAGCTTCAAGGAAATGCTATCCTAGGACTGTTGCCTTTTATTTAGGAAAGCCAGATACAAAATTCAAGCATCGAACTAAGTAAATTAAATAAGCTTGTCATTTCTACTGCCTCAGAGGTTATGCAAAATTGAATCAAAAGCACTGTCCAACACATATGCAGGATTGGGAATGAAATGTCATAGGTGACAATGCATTTAAAAAAATTAAAATATCTTCCCAAAGAAAATATTTTCAAATCAACCCCCAGTAAATACTTGGTATAAAAATAGTAGAACAACAATGTTTTAGCCAACAAAAGCTAGGAAAAGTATTATTCTGTTCAAAGGATCCATGTTTTTAAGGCACACATGCAGAACCTCATATATTCTCAGACACTGAAAACACCCTGGCCCTACTGAAGTCAATGACAAACACCTCATCAATTTCAACAAAGCCAGGAATTCTCTGGGTGTACCAGATTTTCCCAAGTTTCCGCACAGTACCTAGTGAGAAGATCCTTAGCTTTTATTACATGGCTACAACATCACTCTTACACTGCCTTTTATTACTTGGAAGTCTCATTCCCAGTGTTCACAAAAGTGAACACTAACATATGGATTTCTTTGAAGGTTATGCTCTAACAAAAGCTTTCAATGTTTAGCATGCAAATTCTCAGCATCTAAAATTTCTGCAAAGATATTCAACATCTAACACCACAACATGTGGCTTTCTTTAATTCTTATTGTCCACCACTACTCTACTAGGGAACATAAGCAGCACATGGACATAAGAACTCTCCTTTGTGGACAGACAATTAAAGTGGGGTTTAAGTCATAACACTACCATGCAACATATCTCTCTGAAATCTACAGGATGCCATGTGGCAAACCTTCCTTGATCAATAGTGCTCACTATGTGTGGTACTTAAGGGTGCAAAGGCTACAGAAGCATTACAAAACCAGAGACAGATGCGAATTACCTTGAGGAGTGTGCAGGAAAATGCAGGTTTAGCAGTGATGATGGTTTTTAGAAGCAAGTTTATGGTCAGAAGAAAGACTCTAATCAGTAAATATTTTTACAATACTCATAGAAATCAAGGGCTGGAAGAGACCTCGAAAAATCATCGAGTCCAACCCCCTGCTCTGGGAAGGAAAACTGCTGAGATCAAATGATCCTAGCAAGGCGTCCATCCAGTCTCTGCCTAAAGACTCCCTACATCACCTATTCCACTATTTGTAGAGTGCAGTCTTCCCTCTCACCCTGATCTTATAGTGGCTCATAATTACTAATAATAACTATCATTATTATTAAATTGTTAAATTCTATTAATAACTTATCATTAACCCTCGATTCCTTGCAAAATAGATAATCTACCCAGCTCTTAAATGGATATACTGAGGCACAAAGTGAGTGTTAGCATCAGAAACCAAGTACACGAGTTCCAGCTCCCAGCTTTAATTACTAGGCTACAACTCCCTTCAAAACATACTTCTATTCTGTAATGATGTCTCATTTTTGTTCCAATTGGAATCAAAGAGATGGACCTTTTGTGCATTTTCTCAGCTACATCTGCATAGTTTTCTGCCAGAAAAGGGGGAAAACATCGTTGTAGAGTCACCGTACCCGCTGAAGAGCACAGAGTGTTCTATTCTGTTTCGTGCTTATCAACAAAACTATCAGCTGAGTTCTGATTCTACAATGTTTACTTCTGATGAGGCAGCATGAAACAGAAAGACAACAGAACAATTTTCAGGCACCAGGCTGAGCATGTAGCCCTTCTGGCATTTTAGAAGCATGTTATTTAGTTGTGAACTGAGCTTAATGCAACATGAAGCTCAACAACAGCGAGCAACTTTGGAAGCCCAGAATATCAGATACAAAAATCAATTATTTCAGAAAACTCGCACAGAAACGAAGAAATGCCACAAATTCAACTCCCATGTCCCATTTGGGTATGGGGAGAGCAGGTTACTTAATGCACACTATTTGTGCAATTGGCAAGGTGACTGCCCCCTTGCTAACCCACAGAGGTAAAGATCGTTTACAAGACTTCTGGGACCATCAAGGCCACACTCTTCGCTTTTGCTTTCCCCAGCCTGGATCAGACTCAGGACTCCTTTGGTTATATAAGTGTAACCCCCTGATCAGCCTGGTCTACAGGTTCCTTTCTGTATCAGATCCTCAAAGGACACGAGGATGTTGCAGCTCCAAAACACAGGGTGACAGGTTTCTAACCAAAACTGAATTTTGTCATTTTCCTAGCTCTGAAGCGCCACAGAATAATGCCTGGCGCATTGCCCAATAAGGCCACCACCACCACATAAGCAAAAGGCTCAAATTAACCACTGACAGCTCTGGGGTTTTTCAGTCTCCCCATAGCCAGTTATGAAAAATACTGTGCTATTCATTCACGTCTAGAGCCATTTCAGTATATTCTTCCTCTCCCCTTCCAATAAAGTATTCATGTTCTTAAAAACTGGAAATTTCCTTCAATACTTGGGATTCACTTACATAATTAACTTTACAAATAAACAAACAAAAGGTAAGTTTGTTTTTGGTTCAAATTTAACACAGGGTACAGACAAGTCCCATTCTAATAACTACATCACATTCTTCTTCTAATACTTACAAATAAACATGGTTTCATCACTGCCATCTTCTGCCATTTCTGCAACCTGTCAAAAAACAAAAGGAAGCTGAGCATAATGAAACTCCTTGTTTTTATTACACTAATAAAACACCCACCTATTAACCTATTATGTTAACTGAGCTACACGAATATAGAGGCTGCTGAACCCTAAAAAGAAGGATGCACATGAAAGGTAAAACGCAAATTAAAGATACTATTGATTCAAGTAGTGACTATTAGTAGTGATGACAGGACAAAGTGGCGCTCCCTTCTCAATCACGGAGTCCAACATCATGATGAGAAATGGTCACTCGAATTACAACAGAAACATGACCAAAGGAAACAGCCTGTCAAGTAAGTCCCTAATGCTGTGTATACCTGGGACCGCTGTGGCAGGACCTGCAAGTCTAACACTGGTTTTTACAGTCACAAGAGAAAATGCACCACCCTCAGTAGAATAGCTGCAGTATCTATCACCATTCACTGATGAACAGATGCCATATATTACTAACATTCTTTCTACAAGTTTCAGGCCTTTTCCTAACCACTTTGGTTTATGAAGCATTTTAATAAAGGAAACAGAAATTTATTATTTTAATCCATACCAGCGTTTGTGAAAAACATGCTCATATCAGCTTACATCACAGTTTTATAAGGACTGCTGGCACATAAATACAATGGAATATTAGTTTTACGGCAAAGTCATTTTTCTTCCCAACGCTTACTTCAGATAGTTTTAGTGGACATGTGGGACTTTTAGTCTATTCCACTTTAAAATGACTTTTGTGTTAACTGCATTCCACTATAAATTATAATAGTAAAATGAGTTCTAGTGATGGGTTAATTAAGGCAATGTAAAAAAAAAAAAAAAAAAAGTATAGATGGGGCACCTAGGAAATATTTTAAATGTGCACTGACTCTTCGATGAAGCATACCTAAATATTACACAATTTAAATTCCAGTGATCAGAATGCAAAGGTTTTTTTTTACATATATAGTAAAGAGATCATTACATCTTTAAATCTTATATCTTTAAAAAGTCCACTGAAACACGTGCTGGCCCAGAAATATATCCAAAGCCTCAGAGTTTGTCATCTTTAAAGACAATGTCAACCTAATTTTTTTTTAAGATACAAGCATGCAGAAAATATGAATAACATTTTCAATTTTAGACACTTTATGCATTCCGTTCATAACCTTATGATATGTTCAATTTGAACAAATATTTTCATTAGAGTCAAGAGGGGTTCCCACTGACTTAAATGGATTTTTAATCAGTCCCTTACTGCCCCAAACCAAAACACATCAAGTAGTAAAGATCTGCATTAAATTCACAGAAGCTAGGATTTTCAGAGCTGGGGCTTCTGTTCTGTACCAAACACATAATTTATACCTGTATCTTATAATGTGGTAACTTCACACATCTCTCCCCCACAATTCTCAGCCAGAGGCTCAGGCATGAAGTAAAAGCTTTATTTCTCCATTGCTTTTGCTTCACAGGCCTGGAACGAGAACTGTCAGCTTTGGTGTGGCCCCAAGGTCACCTCATATCATTCTTCCCTTCCACCTTGTCCTCTCTAGTTCTATTATGAGTCAGGCAGGAGCTGAAGATCCATACTGCCAGCCCCATACTCACTCTTACAACTGGAGAGGGCAAGCTTAGAGGCCCAGTCATGTCAGGTTTGTCAACCATGAGTCACACAGATGAGAAGCTGAGATTCTAAGAACTGCAACCCCAGATACAGAGAAATTAATGTATTTTTTTCATATGATGACACCAGAGAATAAAAAGGCTAGTGATATTTTGGTAAGTACCACCACTAACTTTGGGGCAGTGGATCATGAATGCTTTTGCAATTGTGGTGCAGAGAAAAAGTAAGCTTTGGTGAACGGAACACGGGTCGGGAAGTGAGCAGAAACAGAATTAATTCCCAGGTCTCCTATGGATTTGTACAATTGCACTTAATTAAGTCACATCATCTCTGTGCTACCCTATTTTTATTCATCTGTGAAATGAGGCTCATGACTCGTGCCCCCATTCATAAAATATTTTGAGATTTACAAATATAAAAGTAGTACGTATCTCTTGTCACTACTGCTTAAATAACTTACTGTGTGGCGGCAGCGGTTAGTTATTACCAAGAAGTCACATAAAAATGGGCAAAGATAAGCAAAGTCTGGCAGATCTTTCCTTTCTCCCCTAGCATACAATAAAAGGACATGTTCTTCCACACTGGGGATGCAATTCTGCAGTGGTGGCTTTAACCTCAATGGCTTCCAGAGCCACTGCATGGGTAAGACCAACACCCAGGGTGTTAATATCGCCACCAAAGATGGGTGGTCTGGCCTGCAAGAAGCCCCACAGTCCAGATCCAGCCCATGGTGCTAAATGAGTTTGATATCCTTGCTGTACATGATCACAAAGAATAGCAATTCAACCAGTTACATTATACAGACTGCATCTTTGCATCCGTTTCCATACTTGGGAGGTTTAATTTTGTCCATGTAGATTTGGTTGAGGCATGCTGGTAAACCAAGTCAGCACTGCCACTGTCTGCGTCAAACCTTTTGTGAAAGACAATTGGTTCCCTGGTCTGACACTACCAGCAAATTAAATTCGACAAATGTTTCTGGTAATTATAATTATTATGTACAACATTATGGGAGACCAACAATCGCTATGGTTTTAGGAACAAAGAGAAAACGAGACGTAGCAGCACACAGGGAGAGCACAATGGTGTGATGCTACCATTTAAGGAGATGAAGATAGAAAATAGAGGTCACTCAAATGCACCTCATTAAACTGATGAGAGAGGTGCTAAATCTCAGTTAATGTTTTACATTATCTTAATTTTCACCTCTCTATACAAGTCATTTTTCATTTCCTACATAGCACACTGATTTCTGATGCATCAGAGGTCTTTTCATTAGTTCAGCACAATGACCTACTATGTTCTGCAAAAGAAAGAACAGACAATGCATTATGTATCAAGTAGACCAAAAAACTGCAGTGTAAACATATCCACTGGAACAGAGCTAATAAGTACACCAAAGGGAACACCTGAATGTGCAGGTATAATAAGAGGACTGCTCAAGGACTCCTGTACATTTGTACATTCATATATTCATACTAGATGTACAGGTTGACTACAGGTCTCTGTAACTTTGCCTTATGCAAAAGGCAAGGAAGAAAGAAGATCCTGAAAATTAGCTTTATAATTCTATTTTGACTTCATATGTCACTTTTCACCCACGGATCTCAAAGCTCCTTATAAATCACTATTATATTTTCACAATACTCTTCTAAAATAGGTATTATGACAACCCATTTTACAGATGATGAATCTGCAGAGTCACATTGCGAGTGGCAGAGCCTGACAGAACCCAAAACCTCTTACTCCTCATTCTTGCTTGGGACCGGATTCATTTCCTCTGCTGGTTGCTAACATTTAATCTAGCAAAGAAACCCACCCTGCTGCACACGATTAACTTCCTGCTTTGCAGAGATGATATGGATCTTCTGGGCATTCCAGAAATTTTTGTATATTATTGATAGCATTCATTAAGTGGCAACTACACCAATGAAGAACTAGTTACCTCTCTCTGTACATGAGGAGTTGCACAAAAATTCATTTTAGGTAAGGAAGTGAGGGTCAGATCAGAAGTAAAAAGTGCACTTTTGACAACATGAGGGCACCATATGCTTTAAGCAGAAACAGCAAGGAAAACATATCAGCTGGATGAATGACCTGGACTCACTGAGCCATGCTTGTTTTGGGGATCAAGAACTGAAGGAACGATGTATGAATAGCTCGAGTTTCTTTAATAAATAGCCCGCACAATTTTATCAGCTGGACGTTTTCTTGTAAGAGTTAGCAAAGAGAATTTGGCAGTTTGCATTTTCATCCCCAATGTAAGTAACTGTAACTAGCTGACTGAAAACCACCTTATAAATAACCACAGGTTACCCTGCCACAGTGTGGCAAAGAATGGGTACTGAAACTGGGAACAAACCCAGCATTTTTAACACTGTTCCTCTCTGGCATGCAGTCTCCAGTATTTAAGGCCCTGGAAATTCAGATTCATAGGCTGTGCCCCTAACTCCCATGGCAGACTGTCAATACCTGTATTATGTAGATAACATCTATGGATAATAAGGTAGCACCTGGCTCACAACCAAGCTGAAATGAAAGAACATAGCCGAAGGCAGTGCAGACTGAGGGCAGTTTGGTTTATTACTCACTTCTGGGATTTGCTGGATGCCACACAGGGCCAGGAAGGGACAATTCCCCTTCTGCTGCTGCAAGTGTCTGGGGCGTTTATTCACCTTCAGCACTGGGACTTGGCTGCAGTCAGAACAGGGGATTTTGACTGGGCTTTGCCAGTACAACTGCTAAAACTAAAAAAACCTTTCAAAACCTGAGATTTCTCGCTAGAGGCTCTGGCCTCTGCTAAGGGTCACACTAATCACCACATCAGGGGTTAGGAAGGAGCTTTTTATCCCCTGGTCACCGCCTGGACTGTGTGCATGAGATGGAGGGGAGGGAGGTCAGCAAGGAGTCTGACTCCATGGTTAGATCAGCATGGCCTGCATGTGTGAGATGGCGGGGGGAGGCATTTAGGAAGGAATTTTACCCCACAGTTATGTCAGATTGGCATGGCCTGGGCCTGTGCCTGCGAGATGGGGCATGGCAGGCCCCCACCACCTTGCTCCTGCCCCATGAAGACAAGGCCAGGCAAGCAGCACAAGCAGGGCCAGAGCAGAGCAGCTGGTTGGGCTGGCCCATCCCGTTCTGTCCGGTCTCCTGTGCTTGCATGAGACCCGCCAGGCGTGGGTGGGGGCCGATTGGGAGAAGCCCTGGTGCTGGGTGCAGGGGGGACAAACCCACGTGGGGCACAGGGGGATGAAGACGAGGAGGAAGGTGGGTGGGGATTCAGCACCCGCTTCTCCACAGGGGGCCGAGCTGCTCTGAGATGCCTTGTCACCTGCCCCCAGGGCAGGGCACCCCCAGGGGTGGGATCCATCCTGGGGGCGGGATCCGGCCCCTGCAGAGCTGGACAGTACAGAGGGCGTCGGAGCCGCCCGGGCACGGCGGGGAGGGGCAGGTGAGGTGCGGCTCCCTCCCCTCCTCTCCGCGCCTGGCGGCAGCTGGAGGCCGGGGGCCGGGATCCGGGAGCGGCTCCGCCGGGTTTTGCCTCGGACCCGCCCGGGCGGCGGGCGCTGAAACAAAGACCAGGCAGGCCGGAGACAAGGAGGCAGCGGCGGGAGCGGGGCCCGCGCGCCACGGGGCAGCCCCGGCAGGGGCGGGGCCGGCGCGAG